TCCTTTAGACACCAGACACAAGTTTCAGGATCCCCAAGCCACTCACATTTCTGACCAACTGGCTATAAGTTTGGGGACTCCCATGATGCACTCAGGTTTGATAATTAATTAGACCAATTCATAGAGTTTAGGAAAGCATTATGGTTATAATTACAGTTTTACTATAAATTAAACAAATCAGGAACAACCATAGTCTGGGAAGAGACCCATAGGGCACAATCTGGTAGGGTACTAAATGTGGAGCTTCTGTATTCTTGCCCTATGGGATCAAGACACATCAGTCTCCCTGCACAATGGTTATCATAAACCAGGAAGCTCCACCAGAGCCTTGATATCCAGAGTTTATATTGGTGTCTCTTTATAAAGTAAGGTGACCAGATTTTAACATTGGTAAAGTGGGACACCGTGGGGGGGTGGGGCCTAACAACAATGCAAACTTTGATAAGCAGTTCTTGATAATCAGTTCTCAATAATTATTTGTTATTATTAAAGTTCAACATTATAAAATTAACAAAAATAATATAAAATGCATATCCTGGCGAAATAGCCACGTGGCAGCCGAAAACTGTATATTCTCTTCCTGTTCTTCCGTGTTCCCTAGCTTGTCCATTCTTTCCAAAAATCAGGGCTTTTTAAAAATGCCACAGGACGCAGGACAAATTGTTAAAAATCGGGACTGTCTTGCCAAAAGCAGGACGTCTAGTCACCTTAAGGGGGGGGGGACGCTACTTGTTTGCTCCAGACAGTTTGGCTCCTTCTGAGCTAATTGTCCTTGCCTAGAAGCAAGGGAGGGAGCCAATCTCCTTCTGATACCTTGCCCAGGAGGGAGTAGGGAGTTTACATTAGCCTTTTCATTTCCAAATGAAGTTACATTAACCTCTTCATTCCCAAATGGAGGTACATTAACCTTTTCAGTAGCCAAAAGCCATATATTCCCTTCGCATTCTCCTGCTGTCCCCAGCTTGTCATGCATTCTTTCCAAAAATCAGGACTTTTTTAAAACGCTATGGGACGCGGGACAAATTGTTCAAAATTGGGACTGTCTCCCCAAAAGCGGGATGTCACCTTACACATGGCAGCCAAAAGCCTTTTGTATATTCCCTTCCTGTTCTCCAGGGTTCCCTAGCTTGTCGTGCATTCTTTCCAAAAATCGAGACTTTTTAAAAATGCCGTGGGATGAGGGACAAATTGTTAAAAATCAGGACTGTCCCGCCAAAAGTGGGAGGTCTGGTCACCTTATTATAAAGGCATGACTGATTTAATCACCAGCCATGTGACTGAACTCCATCTTCAGCCCTCTTCTCCTCCTGGGAGCCAGGCTGCTATCCCAGGAGTCAATACCCCAACCCCAGTCACATAGATGGTCTTTCTGGTATGTCCCATCCCCATCCAGAAGCTATCTAGGAGCCCACTTTGAGTCATCCCATTATTAAACTCAATAAAGGCCCATCATGAACAACAAAGACATTCCTATCACTAGGGACATGCCAAGCAAGGGTTTAGAAACTCTGTTTCAGGAGCTTAGGACAAAGTTCCCAGACAAATTCCTTATTATATAATAGCATTATTAGAGAGACCAGTGTGCAGGTAGATATATGGTTTCAAGAGTCAAATCTTCATCTTCCAAAGTGAGATGTCAATAGATACTATCTAAAGTGAGAAAAAAAGATCAAGTAATAACATTACCAGCATGTCATTAAAAAAATATGGTGACAGGCCGGGCACGGTGGCTTATGCCTGTAATCCTAGCGCTCTGGGAGGCTGAGGTGGGTGGACTGCTTGAGCTTACAAGTTCAAGATCAGCCTGAGCAAGAGTGAGACGCTGTCTCTACTAAAAATAGAAAACTTGAGGCAAGAGGATCACTTGAGCCAAAGAGTTGGAGGTTGCTATGAGCTGTGATGCCATGGCACTCTACCCAGGGTAACAACTTGAGACTTTGTCTCAAAGAATAAACAAAAAAAAAAAATGTGGTGACAAATACCAGAAGAGAAGGGGAGTGTCCACACCTTGGAAGGAGAGATTTTTATTACTGTCATTGTTGTTGCTAAAAGCCTTATAGAACTACTTGACTTATTTGACTAGGCATACATACTACCTTGACAAAAATTATAGAGAAAAGGTCTGGTATGGTGGCTCATACCTGTAAATCACAGCACTTTGGTTGAGGTTGAGGTAGAAGGATCACTTAAGCCCAGGAGTTCAAGACCAGCCTGGGCAACATTACAAGACCTCCATCTGTACAAAAAATAAAATAAAATAAAATTAGGCAGGCATGGTAGCACACGCCTGTAGTCCCAACTGCTCAGGAGACAGAGGCAGGAGGATCACTTGAGCACTGGAATTTGAGGTTGCTGTGAGCTATGATGACACCACTGAGTTCTAACCTAGGCAACAGAGCAAGACCCTGTCTCAAAAAAAAAAAAAAAAAAAAAAGGAGGAAAGAAAAAATTAAAGAGTAAAAAAGGAAGAAAAGAGCAGGTTTGTGTTAAGTGCTCAGGAACGGGTG